AAATGGAAGAGGAAGAATTTTATATTCTATCTCCCGGCACTGAAGAGGAAGAATTTTATATTCTATCTCCAGTTGCAAAAGGAAACTCAAAGTGGGATCTCCACTTCAAGAATCCGTTAGGCGTTGACTTATCCCTACTTAGGCTTCGGGATAAAATGCCCCAGACTGGATTCTGGTGTCTTTTTCAATCGGTGAAAGACTAAACCGGCAACACGTGTTAGGTGTTGACTTATCCCTACTCAGGATTCGGGATAAAATTCCCCGCGCGTGTGAAGCACGGATTTTGGCGTTATGAATAACGACATGCCACAATGTCGAATATGTGGACTTTTGTCCTTTTCACGGCAAAAGACTAACCGGCAACGCGTGTTAGGCGTTGACTTATCCCTGCTTAGGATTCGGGATAAAATTCCCCATGCATAAAAGGCATGGATTTTTGTTGCTACGATGCTGAATACGTAGACTCGGTCATTTTTACGGGAACGAACCACCCAGCAACGCGGGTTAAGCGTTGACTTATCCCTACTTAGGCTTCGGGATAAAATGCCCCAGACTGGATTCTGGTGTCTTTTTCAATCGGTGAAAGACTAAACCGGCAACGCGAGTTAGGCGTTGACTTATCCCTACTTAGGGTTCGAGATAAAATTCCCCATGCATAAAAGGCATGGATTTTTGTTGCTACGAGGCTGAATACGTAGACTCGGTCATTTTTACGGGAACGAACCACCCAGCAACGCGGGTTAAGCGTTGACTTATCCCTACTTAGGCTTCGGGATAAAATGCCCCAGACTGGATTCTGGTGTCTTTTTCAATCGGTGAAAGACTAAACCGGCAACGCGAGTTAGGCGTTGACTTATCCCTACTTAGGGTTCGAGATAAAATTCCCCATGCATAAAAGGCATGGATTTTTGTTGCTACGATGCTGAATACGTAGACTCGGTCGTTTTTATGGGAACGAACCACCTAGCAACGCGGGTTAAGCGTTGACTTATTCCTACTTAGGCTTCGGGATAAAATGCCCCAGACTGGATTCTGGTGTCTTTTTCAATCGGTGAAAGACTAAACCGGCAACGCGTGTTAGGCGTAGGCTTATATCTATTTAGGAGCTGAGATAAAATTCCCCGTGCACAAAGTGCACGGATTGGAAGTTGGGAATTGTGTCTTTTTTTAGGGTAAAGACAGACTGGAAAATGAAAGAGGAAGAATTTTATATTCTATCTCCCGGCACTGAAGAGGAAGAATTTTATATTCTATCTCCAGTTGGAAAGGAAACTCAAGGTGGGATCTCCACCCTCAGAATCCGAAATGATAAAACTAAGAGTGGGATCTCCACTCCGAGAATCAAAAAGATTCGGATAACCCTAACTGTCG